CGCGGAGTGCTTTTCTGAGATGGCATGAAGATGAGGTGAGCATTCAGCGACGTGCGCTTCAGAGCCAGACCAATGGCACCACCAGTCCTGAGGCATGCCAAGCCTTGTATGATGTATGAAAGAAGTGTGTGGGTCCTCATCAAGGCTTACAGATTGGCGATGCCGAGTGCCAGGTGCACCGGACCCTGCCCCAGCGCCCACCTCGTGGTGTTGCTGAGTGCCGGGCGTGCTGGCCACTGCGCCTGCGCCGTCTTCCTGCTGGCGCGCAGCGCCGCGAGAAACCGCGCGCGCGCCCGTTCCGTCTCCGCGCATTACCAACGCGCGACAGCGGTCGGCGCGCCACAGTCTAGGCTCCAACGATCACGACGGCGACCTGTCAAGGCGCCGCCAAGTCGCGACCATCCTCAAGATCAGCGCGCTCTTGGCGTTCAGTCGTCTGGCTCGCCGCGCCCGGCGCGCGCGATGCCGCGCGCGAGGTGACGCCTAGGCGCGTATCTGCGTGCCCGAAAAGCCAGCGCGTGACATCCGCGGCGGCGCAGATCTTTGAGCGACCAGACCATGCAGACGACGTATGCCACCATCATCGATACCCCAGGGTGCACGCGACAGTTGCTGCCATCACGATCTTCACCGCATGACCTGGAGCTGTTCTCGCACAAACGGCCAGCGGGAACCGCGACAGTCTCTTGGCCGACTGCGACCGCGAGACTGGCCCAGACTAGATGCCGATCCACTACCTGGCCACCCTACATCTGGGCTCGGCGCCGCCGCGCGGCGCGAGCCAGGACCGCGACAAACCTTCCAGTCTCGCACGTCGCGCAGCATGCTGGCAGTGACTTCGGCTCAGATCGGGAGATCCACGACCGTTCTTGTACTGATCAGCGTTCAACTCATCAAGCACCACAAGTGCTTCACAACGCTGCCTTTCAAGAAGGGCCCCAGACGAAGCCAAGCGCACTCTACGCACCACTTGGGCACAATCCCACGACACCGTCCCCTTCGGACGGCAATGGTCGAATACCCAGGCAGCAGCATGCACTCACAAGTGCTCGCAACAAGCCGCTGGTACACGTCGTCTGAGACCGCGCGCCACCACGGCCACCAACGCAGCTTGCAGCGCGATCGTGCACGGACGTGCCGCGCCCGCCCAGAGCTACACCTGAGCCTTGGCAAGTCAGGACTTACGGACGGCTGGGGCGATAACGGGACGTTGTCTCCAGACGGACCAGGCTGCTCGGAGCCTCTGTCGACCAGAGTCGGAGATCGAGGACGCGGCCATTTGCGTGGGCGACAAGGACAAGACCAAGAACCAGAATAATGACAATCTTATTTGTGGTGAGCGCCTGCGCCAACGGCGCCTGCCAGCACCTTGGCGCCACCCGCACCTACCAGAGGTTCGGCCTGGGCATCGAGGAGCCGTCCGACGCATTCCCGCCGCGGAACACCATCGACCCACTTGGTCGACTACACCAACGCCCCGACCACGCACGATGGCGTGGCGGCGCGCCCGCCCATCATCGTCGCGGACCTGTGGCCCGAGATGCGCTATATGAAGCAGCCGGTCTGTGCGGCGCCGCGGCCTGCATCCTGCGCAGGTGCTGACAGGCGGGCCGCAGTCCGCCAGCCCCCAGACCGACGGCAGGGCGACGGCGACCAGAAGCCGACAGTCGTCAGCAGCAAGGTCCAGCGGCCCGCGGGGCTCTGCCGCGAACCGCTGGGTGAGCTGTGCCCGCGCGCTCGTCAAGGCAGGTGCCGTGAAGCTCCGCAGATGCACATGAACATAGCTGCGTTGCTGGCCCCAGACACCGCCGCGACTAGCCACGCCCGCCGGCGCCAGCACGCGAAGGGGCGCCGAGGGCGGACAACTGCACCAGCAAGGGGCTGCGCAAAGACACAGGGAACCAATCTGTCCAGAAGACACGATCATCGCTGCGGTTCGAGCGCACGCAGGGCACGGATTGTGACGCGCCTCCACGAGCAGTGCCCTGCTCCCGGCCGTCAGACAACATCGGCCGGTCGATGCCACATCGGGGTAAGGAGCCTGTCCTTCGGTTTTCCCTGTTGTGGGGCGCAGCTGCGACCCACGACCTTGGTCATGGCCAGCTCATCCTACGCACGAGTTGGCCACAGACGAGCCGACAGGGCACCCCAGGGTTCACGACTTTTTGTTCGAGTTGAAGCTCCTGGGCCACGCGTGAGCTGTGCATGGCGTCACTGCGGAGGCCTCGCGGTGAATGCTCTGGCATCTCATTGCAGGTGATTCTCTGTGGCCTAGCTGCTGCAGAAGGACAGTCTCCATTGCCCAGTAGCCTTGACTCGAATAGGAACACGCGTGCGCGACCGCTGCAATTCTGGCTCACAGCGTGCACGCGGTATGTCTGATATTGAATGGAAGAGGTTTGCGATTTGCCATCTCTAATGTTAGCATTGCCGCCATGTCTTCTTCGTGTCACCGTTAACACCCGCAATTTCAGTTCCTCCTCCTCCTCCTCCTCTTTGTCTTCCTCCTTCTCCTCCTCCTCCTCCTCCTCCTCCTCCTCCCGTTCGCGACCGCCGTCCTCCGCTTGTTTCCCGCCCCGATGTGGTACTCCGCCCTGCGACGACCCCGCCAAGGCTACGACCGCGCCACGCGCTCGCCGGCGCCGCGAACCAAAAAACAGGAAGAGGTGCTTAACGGCACTGCGCCTGGCAACAATTTAGGGCTCCTTCGTTTTGGTAAATTGTCTTGGCCCTCTGGCGCACGGCAACCCAGCGAGATGTGGGAGGTGCAGGGTGGCAGGGCGCACGGGGGAATACAGCTTAGCCTGGCCTGGTTGCGGGTGCCCCGCATGCCTCGCGGAGTCGAAGCCGCGGCCCTCCACTTCGAGGCCTCCGAGAGGCGGGGCGGACCCCGCGCCTGCTTTGCAAATCGACCTCTCGCGCTTGCCGTCACAGAGATGAAAGGGCAGTGGAACACCACGGTACATCGGAGCCCCGAGCCATCAGGGCGGGGGGCAATCAGGGGCAGCTACAGATTAGCACTTCGGGGGCCCAGCGTGGAGGTACCCCGGTCCACATATCCCGGATAGTTCGGGCGTTATCGGGGCTGGGAGCGGTCCAGGGTAGCTACATATTCTCTCCTCGTGGGCCCAAGCCAGAGTTACCCAGGACTGCAGCCATCCCGGATAACTCGAGGGTCCAACACTCCCGACTGATCGGGTTCGGGGCGGTCGGGGGTAGCTACGGGTTCGTGCTTCGGGGGCCCAAACAGGAGTTAGCCTGGACCGCAGTTATCCCAGATACGTCCAAGTGAAGCAGGATCGTCGAGTGAGAGATTGGCTTACGAACGGGTGCCCAGTCTATTTTCTGATCTCCCGACGGAACCGCCGAGCCCTGAGGCGCTTTGCGAAACCCAGAGTCGAGGAAGGATGTGCCCCGGGATTGCTTCAACCAAGATCTCGGATCGCACGTGCCAGCTGTAGTGCTCCTTCCGCTTCAAAGCCTCGCGTGCAATGGCCCTCCTGCAGCCTGCTAGATCCGCGACGCCAGGAGGCCGCGAAGCTCTCTGAGGAACGGGGGAAGCTCGAGGAGAGGCTGTCGGAGCTGCGGAGGCTTATACGCGCCGCCGCCAGCAGGGCGTTCCTTGTTGTTTTGTCGGAGGCGACTATAAGGGTGAATCGCCCAGGGGCGGGCATTGCACGTGTTCGCCCAGGAGCCTCGCACATGGACTTTCAGTGCCCCTGGATACATGAGGCGTTCCACAAAGGTCCTCGCCTTCAAAGATCCTACGAGTTACCATCTCTTCCTCTGCGGAAGGGTGGCGGAAGGCGGCGGAAGTAAAACGAGAGCGGCTCCGCCAGCGGAAGCTGGCGGAAGTAAAAATCTCTCTCCCAAGAGATCAAGAGATGGCAAGGTTTTTCGGTTCAGGATTTCCGGAACCCGTCACATGTAGATTATTTTCTTTTGGGCCATCCGCCCCCATCGTCGCCCCCGATTTTGGGGAGGGGCCAGCGCGCGCGCACGCCACGCCGCACGGCCAAGGGGCACGATTGGCGACAGCCGGGCGGTGGCTGTTACGTTGTAGTGCTTTCGTGGCCCTCTCGCAGACGGCGATTCGGTGAGAGGTGTCGTTGCGTGGTGTCTGGCCCCAGCCCAAACCTCCTAGTGGATTTTGGAGGTCGCCGCGGCGATCGCGGCGGCCACAAATCGGGGCAAGTGTTTTGTCAAAAAGTGGCATGCCTTTTTCCCGCCCCCACCCCGCTTTGCGACGCAGACGTGGCTCATAATTGACAACAGAGCGACAGAGAGTGGGCAACTGTTTCCATTCTTGGCAGTCATGTTTCTGTTGGACAGGTGTCTATCACGCAACCACAGTGGGAAGTGCGGGATGGCAAAGCGGATGGGGAGAGTGGGGGAATCCCGATCGGCTTGGCTCTGGGGGGAGGGGGAGCGCGTGCCTCTCAGAACCTGGGCCGCGGCCCTCCGCCTCCGAGGCCGCCGAGGGGCGGGGCGACCCCCCCCCCGCCCTCTCCTGGACCCCGTGGGGCGGCGAGGAACAAACGACGGGCAGACAGCCCCCCCCCCCCGCCCATGTAGTCCCGGCTGGCCTCCACAGGCTCCCCAGGAGGGGGAGGGGGAGGAGGAGGAGGAGGAGGAGGAGGAGGAGGAGGAGGAGGAGGAGGAGGAGGAGGAGGAGAGGACGAGGAGGAGGAGGAGGTGAGGACGAGGGAGGAGAGAGAGGAGGAGGAGGAGGAGGAGGAGGAGGAGGAGGAGGAGGAGGACGAGGAGGAGGAGTTAGAGGAGGAGGGCGAGGAGGAGGAGGAGGAGGATGAGGAGGAGGAGGAGGAGTTAGAGGAGGAGGGCGAGGAGGAGGAGGAGGAGGAGGAGGAGGAGGAGGAGAGGGAGGAGGGGCCCGAGCCCCAGCGATTGCCCCGGACTGCTCGGGGGGCCTGTCGAGGCCAGTCGGGACTGTGCGGGGGACCTGTTGAGGCCAGCCAGGGCTGCCTTGGGGGGCTGCCTGCGCGCAACCCGAAGCCTTGCCATGCACCTGCGTCGACTGTCGGAGCTCCGCGCGGGTTTCTGTGCGCCGGGCAGGGGTCCAGTGCCGACCCCAATGAACTTGCGCGGCCCTCAGAAAATTGCTCGTTGTGCAGCTTTCTATTCATCTAGAAGAGTTAAGGGGGGCACGACTGGCCGTCGTTCGTGGGACCCTGGCGCCAGTGTAGAGCCCCGCAGGTAGCCTCAGGGGCCCCGTGACTGTTGGCTCGGGGGCCAACTCTGGGCATCGGGGGCCACGCGGGCAGATCCAGAACGCATGGTACCCCTAGGATCCGGCGAGGGAGACTCGGGGAGTGAAGTCCAAGCCGATTGTGGTTTTGAAGCTGGCCCCGTGCAAGGTGCTTGAAAGGAGGGGCCGCCATGCCAAGTGCCACTGGCCTCACTACCCAGGGAGGGCAATTGGCACCAGACCCCGTGGCCCGGGCCCTGCGCAGCTGCGGCGGGACCTGCCGTCCACAGCAGTTGAGGCGGGGACCCATGGCGAGAGCCCTTTCTGGGCGGGGCCCTCTGCCAAGTGAGCGACGCCAAAAAAAGAGGGTCGTCGTCACGGACAGTTACACGTAAGCTGCTTGCGCAAGGTCGCGCGTAAGCGCCCTCGTTACCACTGTGGCGTGTCGCGCTGGCGGCCCGCGTAAGCAACCGCGTAACGTTGCTATGTCATCTTGCGTAAACCCGAAACCCCGTTTTTGACGTCGCTCAATTGCCGCCAGCCCCACCACGCAGCGCAACGGGCTCGGGACCCGGTGTGCGGGGCGGTATGGCCAACCACTGCCCGAGTCCCTCTAATAGGACCCTGTTGCTGATTATTGACGGGCGCCCGCGAGCACTGCTGCGGGACCCTAAGGGCGGGACCCACCTTAAATTATGGTTGGGCCTAGACAGGTGTGTGTTTGTTGCTTGGGGGAACAACCGATTCCACAACACGTTGTGAACAACTCAGATACATGTCTCGTAGACCTTCCAGGGAAGTCATCCAGCACTGTGGCGCTGTATAGTCACTCAGCTGTGTCTAGGCAGTTGCACTTTCGGAAACACATTTCAGGAGGTGGCCGTGGTCAGTACAGTAAAGTTGTAATGCCCAGCGATCTTGATTGGAAGCTCATGAACCCCGCCTCCGCCACTGGAAATCCCAGATGCGGCATTTCCCTGGGACAATAGTGGGCCTACCACGCCAGTTTCGATGGCGCTCTTCGAGACCTCCTCGGTCCCCCTCGTTGTGTCTTGGGCGCTTTTCTAGCCCTCTGAGGCTTCCTGAGGGCCCTATTGGGCCGTCCTGGCCGGGGCCTCTTCAGACTCTCGTGCGCGTATTCGGACGTTTAGGGGTCGGCGACGATGACGTCAGCGACAGCGTCGCCAGCATCGACGACATCGACGATGGCGGTGATTGGTGACGACGACGACGACGACAACGATGACAAAGATACGTCGACGATGGCGAGACAATCATGATGGCGGCGACGGCGACGCTGGTGCCAGCCACGACAAAGAAAGCCACCGCTGTCGAGTCCCCTGCAGAGGGCAAAATAATCGAAAGCGGCAGCCTTCAGTTGCCCGAGCAGCTGCCTTTAGGAGCCATTGAAGCTTCACTGTGAGAGGCAGTCAGACCCTTTGAAGGCTCCACTGAGGGCGAGGCGGTCGGCTGACGGAGGAAAGCCTGCACTCTCGCCACGCGTCTCGGAGCACTCGTGGGGCACGAAGGATTCGAAGGACCGCAGTGCGGCGAGAAAGTTGGTCGAAGACGCGAGGTCGAGAGTGGCCGGACTCGTGTGAGAGTTCAATTTGCTTTCAAGGGGCAACAGTTTCGCAGTTCGCAGCCCTAGGGAGGCATATAGGAGGTAGGCTAACAGGCAGGTGAGAGACATGTAGAACGCACGAAGAAGGAGAAAGAGGTCAGAGAACGGAGGCGGAAGGATAGGACGGGGGGCAACAGTGCTCTACCTATGCGAAGAAATCCTGGAGGCTTCGCGAGGCGCGCAATGGTTGCATTATTTGGTTCAGACGTCCGCCCCGTCAGATGTGGGACGACGTTCGCGCGGTCATGTTCTGACGTAAGTCCAACGTTAATCCGATATGAACCCGTCGTAGATCCGACGCGAATCCGACGTGGATTCGACGTACGTTGGGTGTCAAGTTGCCGCGCGAGGCCTCCAGGATTTCCTTCGCATGCCGATCCAAAATGAGAACCCAACGCAGGAGGGTTAGGACAAATACCCTTCACGATGGCTCGCGAGGGCGTCCAGGATCGACTTGAGGCCCCAGCCTCCACAGGCCAGGCCGGTCGACCTCTCGTCGAGCGAGCACGGCCGACGGACCAGCAAGGCGTGGGCTTGGCGTTGGGGAGGGTTCGTTTTGGCAAGGTAGCGCGGTGACACGCGCAGCACCCCCACCCAACACAGGGCGGCCGAAGAGATGCAGAAGAAGTTGCTGGAGCCCTCAGCGAGGGAAAAGGAAGCATTTGAGAAGGACTGGCCGCTGACAGTGGGGAACCGTTTCTGGGGTGCTCAGGTCCAGCTCTGCTCACTGCGGCGTCATCATGGCGAGTCGTTGGGCAGGCCATAGCAGTTACGCAGACAAGCCAGCTCAGGCAGTCAGTCACAGTCAGCTCGCCAATTGCAAGAAAACCCTTATCCATCAAAATAAGGTGATGCCAACTTGCCCCTAAGGGGCCCCAAGATGATACGGACAAGCCCCCAAGGTCAAGTCATATTGTTGCCATACGCTTCTTTCAAGTCCCACTTGTCGGCTCAAGATGGCTCGACAGAGGGCCACAGAGTGAGGACACGATAGGCCCCCACGAGTCCCCAATATGGCCCAAGATGGCTCAAGTACGGCCCAAGACGGCCACAAGAGATCCCAAGGCAGCCCCAAGATTGCCCCAGAACCCCCCAGAGGCACCAAGACTGCCCCCAGAGAACCCCCAGATGGCCCCAAGAGAACCCAAGAGCGCCCCGAGAGGGCACCAACTTAGCCCCGAGAGGGCCCTAAGAGGGCCCCGCGACGGTGCAAGCCAATCAGATCGTGACCTTTCGAAGTACATGCGCTTCAGTATGCCCGTATGCATATCTGGTACTTGATTTTTCGAAGAGTGCGTCAGAGTGTCTTTGTCGATGTCCCGCCATACCTGTCGATCGATCAAGCTGAGTGATTCGCGGACCGCCCGCCCACGTTCTTTCCTGCTTGTCGGTGCGTGTCTCCGTGCGCATATCGTCGTGCTTTGCCTCGCGCGATCCCGTGGATGTATTCAGCGTGGCCTCCCTTGAAGGCATCTACTACCTGACAGATTGCTTAGCAGACAAACGTACACGCACACATACACACATACAACCGTGCATATAAGTATGTATCTATAGAGAGATATAATTATTCACTGCGTGGAGCTCCCCATATGTGCATCTATTCGCATGGACCTGTCCGCCGTGAATGTCTAGGCGCAAGAATTTTCGAATATGAACGGGCTTGAGTTGTGACGGTCTGGTCATGAGTCTAACTGCGAATGAATTGGAGTGTGAATGAGCCTCAGTAGTACGAGCGCGTCTCTGCGCATGAGCCTGGGGCCTCCCGGGGTCTCCTGAAAGCTACTGGGGCTTCCTGGGGCCTCCAGGAGCCTCTTGGAAGCCTCCTGGTACCTCCTAGGGAGGATTCGTGCCCCAGGAGAGGCACAATCTATAGCAACAGACTTACATAAAGCATTGCGGATTGGAGCCACAGGAGAAGGGCAATATATAGGAACAGTGTAAAACACCAAGCACTCTTGCCCCAGGAGAGGCCCCACATATATGAACATAAGTAAAACATTCAGGGTTCTGTGCGCAGGAGAAGAACAACCTATATAAGCATACGTATAACATCAAGGATTCGTGCTCCAGGTGAGGCCCAATATATAGGAGCATACACAAAACACATGGGATTGGAGCTGCTCCTGTCGCCTTCTGAGACCTCCTGCTCATGGGGCCTCTCGGGGCCTCCTGTTGCCTTCCGAGGCCTCCTGGCGCTTCCTGTGGCTTCATGGAGCCTCCTGTGGCTTCCTGTGGCCTCCTGGAGCTTCCTGGGGCCTCCTGGAGCCTCTTGGGACATCCTGTGGCCTCTTGAGTCTTTCTGTGTCCTCGTGATGCCTCCTGGGACCTCATGTGGCCTCCTGAGGCCTCATGGAGCCTGTTGGAGCCTCCTGCGGCATCCTGAGGAGAATATGTGCCCGCGAGTCTGGCCACCCAAACCGGCAAACCGATCGAGACATCATCAACATCTGGCCCACCTGGGAGGTGAAAGTGAGCGCTTCGCTCGAGACATCCTCCACATCTGCTCCGAAAGCGAAGGATGTTAAGACAGAACACAGGCAAACCGCCTGAGACATCCCCACAACATTGCTGCGAACGGGACCGTGAAAACACCCCTGGCGGCTCCCCTTGGGGGTGATGAAACCAGCGCCCCGCCTGAGACATCCGCAGAGTCTGCTCTGATAACCAAGGATGTCGAGACAGAAAACAGACAAACTGTTTGATACATCCCAACAGCATTGCTGCGAACGGGACCGTGAAAACACCCCTGGCGGCTCCCCTTGGGGGTGCTGAAACCAGCGCCCCGCCTGAGACGTCCTCAACATCTGCTCTGACAGCCAAGGATGTTGAGACAGAAAACAGGCAAACCGCCTGAGACATCCCCACAACATTGTTGCGAACGGGACCGTGAAAACACCCCTGGCGGCTCCTCTTTGGGGTGCTGGAACCATCGCCCCGCCTGAGACATCCTGACAATCTGCTGTGTGCTGAGTAAGTCAGACAATGAGAAGGTCTGGGTATGAGTAGGTCTGAGTAGGAGTAAGTCTGTGTATGAGTACGTCTGGGAACGAATCTGCGTATGAGTAAGTCTGGGTATGAGTGAGTCTCAGCATGAGTAAGTCCGAGTATGGGTGAGTCTAAGTATGAGTAGGTCTGAGTTTTAGTAAGTTTGTGTATGAGTAAGTCTGGGTATGAGTCTATCTGAGCATGAGTAAGTCCAAGTGGGAGGAAACGAGCTGTACCGCAAAGAATGTACACGAGTACGAGTGGAAGTGGGTATGACTATGACTGGGTATGGATGTGTGTGGGTGTGAGCTTACGGTGTCATGAAGAAGTCTGAGTAAGATTAGGTCTGGGTATGAGTAAGTCTGTGTATGAGTAAGTCTGGGTATGAGGAGGATGATGAGGAAGAGGAGGAGGAGAAGAAGAGGAGGAAGGAGTATGAGGCGTCCAAGTAATAACAATAAACCCATCTTAGGACATATGGATCAACTCATAAAGGCAGGACACGCAAGCTTACATACACACGACACACACACCTAGCTTTAAGCACACACCAGATGTGCGCATACGAAGTAAATGCCCGGCCAGCTCGCGGCCAACCTGCGGGCTGCATGTGCCCAGGTGAGAACAGGCAAAGCGCAATTTTCAGTGCACGACCACTATCCAGATGTTACTGTGGAACTGTATGCGGAGGATTTGTGTTTCGTGGTCGAGACTTTGGGATGTGCCTTGTCTGCAAGGTGGTATGATGGCACGTCGTGTTGGTGAGACTCCAGCGCCATAGGTGGCAGGAACAACGTGTCAGGCATTTTGACGCTCGGGACACTGATGGTTGTTCGTCCTATTCATGGGTCCAGCCGCTTTACCATTCCGTTCATCAAAGTCGGTGGTGATTTGTTGTATTGCATGGTTGTCGTGATGTTTTGCTACTGGTTGCCGGATGAGCCGTTTTTGCTGGGGTCGCATGTTGTTTGAACCGTTGGCCATGGTGAAGGGAGGGGCCTGAACAGGCATCGGCCAGGTGAGAACAATCAATGAGTCCAGTGGGTCTTGGAATGTCAGTACATTCTGTTTGAGCCAGGCAGGCATTAGTTTCGCAAGTTCTGGGAAGCTAGTGTGAGGCAAGGTCACGCACGGCGTGCACGGTAAGGTCACGTAAGCTCCAGTAAACTCAGGTGAGGGCGGTCATTGTGGCCATTCAGCGTCAGCAGATTTCTCTGATTGCAGTGTCCGTTGTTGGTTACTGCGTGTTGCTATATATATATATATATGTATGTATGTATGTATGTCTGTATGTCTGTATGTCTGTATGCCTGTATGTCTGTATGTATGTATGCATGCATGCATGCATGCATGCATGCATGCATGTATGTATGTATGTATGTATGTATGTATGTATGCATGTATGTATATACATACACACATCTGTATATGCATTCGCAAATGTGTATATGGTGTATATATATATATATATCTATATATGTACACGTATACATATGTAGACCTGCACGCATACATATATAAACAGCAGGATCGGGGTTTCCGGGCCCCCCGGACACCCTTGCCAAAGGTCCCCCGGCTCGTCCCAGACCTCCTGGGGCGCTTGGCCGGGTCTTGCCAGCCCAGGCGATCAGTGCGGTGATCAGAGAGGCCGAAGAGAGACCCAAGACAGCTCAAGAGCGTTCCAAGAAGGACCCAGGTGGCCTCCAGAGGCCTCCAAGACGGCCCAGGGGGCCCTGGGCAGGACTTCCAGACCGCAGAAAATCCGTTCATTCCCTTTTGGGAAGCGTGCATTTTCATCATAGTCGCTGCTCGGGTTTGAGTAGCGTCCAAAACAGCCAAAATGGCCACCCGTATCGCCCCAAGACGGCCCAAGAGACCCCGAGAGAGCCTCTAGACGGCCTGGATGGCCCCAAGACTGCCCAAGGAAGCCCAACATGGGCCAGAAAGAGGCCCAACAGGCCCTCACAATTGTGAGGGCCTTATGACCACAAGGCCCCCAAAAGAAGCCCAAGAAGGCAATGGGACGCCCCCAACAAGGCCATAGGAGGCCACCAGGAGGCCCCACGTAGCCCCCGTAAGGGCCCTAGAGGGCCCAAGCTTCCCAACACGGCCCAAGATGGCCCCAGGACGGCTCGAGAGGGCCCCAAGTTGGCCCACCAGCCCACCAGGGCTCCAACAAGGCCCACACGGCGTTTACCCGAATCCCAGGTGCGCAACCACATTTTCCAGAAATTGATTGTGAACCCAGGATTCGGTGCATTCCCCAAGAATCATTTACTTTCGCGTGCCTCGCTGCGACCCGCTGTAACATGACATCCTCGGCTTCGCATTGCGTTGTACTTTGCGGCGATGCTTTACATTGTTGACATTGCGTCGGTTTGTTTGACATCAATTCGCGTGGCTTCCCATTCCTTCGCATTGCGCAATGGGGCACCTGAGCCACGAGCGGGCCAATGTGCGGGCCTACGAAGGCTTTTCGTCGTCATTCACTGCCAGACAGTTCTGCAAGCATGCACGTACACATGAAGCCGCAGCCGTTGGCTTCTGGACAGCGCTCATCGGTGCGGCGCAACCGAATTTGTTCGCCGTCCCCCGACGGCGCCATCTCTTTCCCTCCTCCTCTGGGTCCTCCTCCTCCTCGTCCTCCTGTTCTTTCTGCCGCTCCACCGCTCGTCCTCCCCC